CTATAAGTATCAGCACAAGGTTATCAGAGAGAGTGCCAGAATAGGGTCAGAAGGTGCTCAAACTATGACTGAGGGCAAGCTGCTTTCTTAGTGTCCAGCAGCCTATGATAACACGGGTAGATTAAAGCTTTGCTGAGTAAAGCCTTCAGGACCTTCATTTGCTGATGGTGCATGACACAATAAAAAGAAATAACTGCAAACATCTATTATTAATGGGAAGTTGGGATGTATGAAGTATGAATGTAGGGAAAGTAGAAGTTGTCAAAATGAAATGGAATGCATATTCTAGACATTGGCCATTTTGAATCAGAAAATCATATGATTTACTGTGGGAAACAGAAAAGTTATATCCCAGGTTGTGCCCCAATAATATTTTGCCAAACCTAAGGTGCTGCTTGCTAACACATGGTCATTATACACTTGGAGGTCAACTGTTTAGAGGTAATCTCCCTAAGGGTTATCAGCCATCTAGAGCAAGCAATCAGACCCTATAGTCTGTCCCACCCTATATAGGGCCCACTCCCTTCTAATAAGGATAATGGATTCTCCGAAGGTGAGCCCAAAGACTAAGGTCAAGCCAACTCTGGGAGGACCAAGGTTAGGCTGCCATCTTGACTCTAGGGTCCACCCATCTTGTCACATGTATGCCCCTAGTACCTCCCCTTCTTATTGGTAGTACACCCCTAGCTCATTCCCCTCTTGTTGCATGTATGCCTATTGTACAACCCCTTCCTGTTATGCATGTGGTTTCCTGTAATTAGGGGGCCTTGCATGACCCCTGAGTGTATATAAGCCTTGGTTGAAAATATATTTGTTCTCTGTGTGGATCTGGCTGCTGAGATCATGGCCACCTCATGCCTTATCTCATGAGCATTCTTATGCCTTATCTTGTCTGATGTCGCTTTAATTTCACCCCTAATTTACACAACTGCCCCTTGGACCCGTTCAATCGTGGAGGCCAGCACCCCACAATTTACTGTGCAGGAAATGACATTGCATTAATCATCAAAAAGAACATTTCAAGATCTCTCTTGAAGTACAATGTGTGATAAGATAGACCCTAGTCACATACAAGGATATCCAGTCAATACAACTGTTATTCAAATTTATGCACAACCACTAAAGCTAATGGTAAAGAAATTGAAGAATCTTACTACTGTCTTCAGTCTGAAGTTGATCAAATATGCAATCAAGATGAATTGATAATTATTGGTAACTGGAACACAAAAGTTGTAAACAAGCAGGAAGGAACAGTAGTTGGAAAACATGGCATTGGTGATAGAAATAAAACCGGAAATCACTTTGGAGATCAATAGAATTTGGCAAGACAAATGACTTCATCATCAATACTTTTTTTCCAACAACACAGATGGTGACCCTACACATGGATTTCTCTAGCTGCAATTGACTGCATCTGAGGGAAAAGACTACACAGAACCTCAATTTCAGCAGCTAAAATGAGGCCAGGGGCCAACTGTGGAGCAGACTATCAATTGCTGATCTATAAGTTCAGGTCAAAGCTGAAGAAAATGAAAACAAGTTCAAGTGAGCTAAAATATGACCTTGAGTTTATCCCACCTGAATTTCAAGATCATCTCAGGAACAGATTTGATACATTGAACACTAATGACAAAACCAGATGAACTGTGGGATGACATCAGCACATTATCCATGAAGAATGTAAAAGGTCATTAAAGAAACAGGAAAGAAAAAAAGATATGCATGGATGTCAGAAGAGACTCTGAAACTTGCTGTCTGTGGGAAACAAAGATTTCTCCCAAGTTGTCTCCACCAAATAGATGCCAAATCTAGCTGCTTGCTACACTTGGCAAATGACTGTACGCTTGAAGGTCAACAAAAGTAGGTCAGAGGTTATCAGCCATCTAGAGCAATCAGACTGTATAGTCTGTCCCACCCTAAGTAGGGCCCACTCCCTTCTGATAAGGATAGTAGTAGATTGTTTCCCTGAAGGAGAGCCCAGGGAGGTCAAGCCCACTCAAGGATGACCAAGGTTAGGTGTGGCCATATTGAGTCTAGGGTCTGCCCTTCTTGTCACATGTGTACCCCTAGTCCCTCCTCTTCCTATAGCATGTATACCCCCAGCTCATCCCCCTCCTGTCATGCTTATGCCTGTTGTACAACCCCTTCCTGTGATGTATGTCTTTACCTGTAATCACGGGGCTTGCATGCCCCCAAAAGATACATAAACCTTGGTTAGTAATAAATCTCTCTTGCTCACTCCTGCAATTCCCACCTTCCACATCCTCACGTGGACCACCAAGTGGGGCTGAGGTGAGCATGCTACCATGAAATGTATCTGACTTCTTTACTCTCTCTCCCATCTCTCTGACTTTACTATAATCTTTATATATCTTAACCATACAATTGCGCCTACTGAACCCATGATTAGTTGGGGTGGGGTGGGGCTGGCTTCTCCCACAGCTGTTAATCATAAAGTAGCTAAGGCAACTAGAAGAAATTATGAAGCAAAAGCGTTCAACAGAATTTTTCAAAGGGCGGCTCAAGAAGACAAAGTAAAGTATTATAATGAAATGTGCAAACACTTAGAATTAGAAACCCCAAAAGGAAGAACACACTAAGATAGCTTAAAGTGAAAGAACTAAGGAAAAGAAATGAAGTCTAATGTTCCAATATTGAAAGATTCTATGGGCAAAATATTGAATGAACCATGGAGGAAGCATCAAGGATGATAAAAGGAATAGAGTCACTGTACCAAAAAGAACTAGTTGGCATTCATCCATTTCAAGAGGTAGCATTTGATCAAGAACCAATAATACTGAAGAAAGAAGTCCAAGCTGCATTAAAGGCATTAGCTAAAAACAAGCCTCCAGGAATTGATGGAATGCCAATTTAAATGTTTCAGCAAGCTGGTGTAGCATGGAAATACTCGTTCATCTATGCCAATAGATTCGGAAGACAGCTAGCTACATGACCAACTGACTGGAAGAAGTCTATATTTGTACCCATTATAAAGAAAGGTTCCCATAATGCTAAAATTATAGAATAATATCATTAATATCACAGGAAGTAAAATTTTGCTGAAGATGATCCAACAATGATTGCAGCAGTACATTGACAGGAAGCTTCCAGAGGTTCATGCCAGATTCAGAAGAGGACCTGGAACAAGGGATATCATTGCTGGACCTTGGCTGAAAGCAGAGAACACCACAAAGATGTTTACTTGTGTTTTAATGGCTATGCAAAGACATTCAACTGTGCGGATCATAAAAGACTATGGATAATCTTGAGGAGAATGGGAATTCCCGGGCATTTAATTGTGCTTGTGTGGAATCTGAACATGGATCAAAAGGCAGTTGTGCAAACAGAACAAGGAAATACTGCATGGTTTACAATTAAGAAAGGTGTGCATCAGGGTTGTATCCTCTCATCATACTTTTCCAATTTGTATACTAAGCAAATCATTAGAGAAACTGGATTATATGTAGAAGAATGTGGCATCAAGATTGGAAGAAGGTTTAATAACAACCTTGTGTCTGTAGATGACACAACTTTGCTACTGAAAGTGAGACGGATTTGAAGCAATTGCTGATGAAGATCAAGGATTGCAATCTTTAGCATGGATTAGAACTCAGTGTGAAGAATACCCAAATCCTCATAAGACCAATAGGTAACATTGTGATAAATGGAGAAAAGATTTAAGTTGTCAAAGATACTGCCTTGTTTGGATCCACCATTAAAATTCAGGAAAACAGAAGCGTCAAGAGATCCGATGACATGTTGCACTGGAAAAATCTGCTGCACAAACAATCTTTAAACTGTTGAAAAGCAACATTGTTACCTTAAGGAATAAGGTGTGCCTGACCCACGTCATGGTATTTTAAGCTTCAGTCACTCTATTAAAAATTAATGCACACCCTATTATTAATGCAATTTAAGGGAATAGACTCGGGGAGGTTACAATAATTCCACATGTGATCTCACTCACTTGTTTTCTTCTTAAATAGCACCAGGAAACTATTAATGTTTTAATGATGTGAAATAACATTCATCAGTGAGTTTCCTCACACAGACTATCTCCTGATGTGCAAACACCCCTATTCTTTTTCTTTTTGACTAAAAACTTTAGGAACACCCTCAGATTTGATACTAATATATTAGCAAAAACTTAGAAGTGGGTATCTGCTAAACATTCCAGGCTTTTTTCATGCCTGCTCATTAAAAAATTTGTAGAGCTTTGTCAGTTGCCAGTGCATTTCTGCCTATGAGGGTGAATAATTTAGTTTTACTCAAAATAAGGTGATCTTTGTCTTGTTTCTTTCTACCTTGGTCTGGGACTTGTGGGTTGCACCCCAAAATTTGTACTAGCAAGTAGGTGCTTGCCAGACTAGACAAGACTCCTTTGGAGGTGATACTAACTAGCCCCAGGACACATGATTACACAGGACTGGCCAATAAAAATCCAGAGTCAAGGCTCAGAGAGTTTCCTGGTTTGTAAAACAAGACAGCCATGTATCTATCTGAGAGGACAGCATATTCGTTGGGGCATGGAAGTTTTATGTTTCTAGATCATGCCTGTGTGTCCCTTTCTTATGATGACCTTCAGTTGTGTCCTACTGCTACCATAAATCTATAATGGTAAGCATGAATATAGTACTGTCCATAGGTTTGTGAGTCACTCCGGTGCGTTATCTCCCTCAAAGCAGAAGGACAAGTCAGCAGATGAAAGCGAGGTTATCATGAGGATTCCAGATGTATGGTCAGTGTCTGCCTACATATTTGGTGGTCTGAAGAATGCTTGACTTTTAATTTGAGAGATCTGCCCCAGCGTTGGGTGATTAGGGGCAGAGAAAGAGCAAGAGTGAGGTTGAAAAAGCTGTTGGAGTGACTTGTATCAGAAGTTAATGAGATGGGGAATGTGGGGACTGGAGGAATCCCTACATTTTGGGGAAGTGGATTCATGCTGATTCTTATCCTTGAAATTACTTCTGCACTATCTTTTTCTGACCCTTCACTTTTAGGGACCTGAGAGCAAAAAGGAACTAGATGAACGAGCGCGCTTGAGGATGGAAATGAGAGCCTGTAAGCAAGTTGAGGGAAAAAGAAAGTCTGGGAAGAAGGAACACGGAGAAGCATACCTCCCCCCCAGTGAGACACGGAGGAGCATACCTGCCCCCCAGTGGAACACGGAGAAGAAGCATACCTGCCCCCCAGTGGGGCACAGAGAAGCATACCTGCCCCCCAGTGGGACACGGAGAAGCATACCTGCCCCCCAGTGGGACACGGAGAAGCATACCTGTCCCCCCCGTGGAACATGGAGAAGCATACCTGCCCCCTAGTGTAAAAGGGTCCTGAATAGCGATTTGTGTGTACATCACAACCACAGGTACTACTTTGTCTTTTGAGCCTCAGCACACAACGCTGGGAGCTAGGGAGTGTACAAGGTGTCTACAGATGCTGACTGACAGAAGTGGATGGTCAGTACCATCACTGCTCAAAATGATTTCCATCATACTCCAACTACTTCTGGGATTCTTAGTCAAGAATGTCATCTGCTTTGTTGCTCTTCTATGGGAATAAGGTGAATCAAAGAATAAAATGAAATAATTCTTGAAAAATATGTAGAGTGAATCATCAACCCTCATTTTTACCAACCCTCTTCCACATCAGTTTAGCAAATAATCTCAAATAAAAGCCATGGTGACCTGGCCATTAACATGCCAAGCTTTGTACTGATTGTTTGAATGCATCACCCCAAGTAATCCTCACCACTTTGAGGTGGGACCTACTGATTGCCTCACTTTCTGCCTGAGGAAACAGAATGTTAGAAAAATTCAGTAATTCACTGGTGTGGTGGCAGAAGTAGGGACCTAGTCCAGTTTTCTCTGATGCCAGGGTTCATGCTCCTAACCTGAGGCAAGAGCCTAGATTCCCTTTAGAAATTGCCCTGATTGGGGCTTAAGTGGAGAGCAAATGTTTTGAGAATGATGAGGGCAATGAATGTACAAATGTGCTTTACACAATTGATGTATTTATGGGTTGTGATAAGAGTTGTATGAGACCCTAATAAAACGATTAAAAATAAAATTTAAAAGAGGATAAAAAACAACTATTAAAAAGAAGTGGTCCTGATTTATACAAGGAGGCTTCAAAAAGTTTGTGGAAGAATGGAATGAAAAGATCAAGCACTTTCCCCCCACAACAATTTTAAATCCCCCTCATCTGTGTGTGATGTGTGTATGAGTTGAAAGAGTTGATTTCAGACGAGCCAGTCAGGGTGCAGTATAGCACTGATGAAATATACAACTTTCCTTTAATGCTTCCTCTCTCCTCAACTATCAGGATGCCAATTCTACTTTACAAATCCGACTAGACCAGAGCATGTACATGAGTACAGATAAGAGCTGGAAACACAGGGAATCCAGGACAGATAAACCCCTTAGGACCAATAATGAGAGTAGTGATACCAGGAGGATAAGGAGAAGGTGGGAGGGGAAGGGGGAACTGATCACAATCTACATCTAACCCCCTCCCTGGGGGACGGACAACAGAAAGTGGGTGAAGGGAGACATCGGTCAGTGTAAGACATGAAAAAAAAATTATAAATTATCAAGGGTTCGTGAGGGAGGGAGGGTAGGGAAGGAGGGGAAAAATGAGGATCTGATACCAAGGGCTCAAGTAGAAAGCAAATGTTTTGAGAGTGATGATGGCAACAAATGTACAAATGTGCTTGACACAATGGATGTGTGTATGGATTGTGATAAGAGTTGTATGAGCCCCCAGTAAATTATTTGAAAAAAGAAAAAAAAGTTGATTTCATGAGTGAAAACTAATTTTATGAGATCAGCTTTAAGCTCTGGGATTTCAATTTTAAGAGGCCATACTCTGTCACTATTTTTCTCCTTAGAAGAAACTGTTTAAGCTAATTTTCTAATACTCTACATGATTACTATCTTTCTCCATTTGGGGTCTTCAAATATCTAAAACAGCTAGATTTTCCATTTTGTAACAAATAATATTCCCCCTAAAACTACTACTCATAACTAATACTGTAATTGATTTTCTATGCAAGACACAAACTCACCATTCCAACAGATAATAGAAAGAAGAAAGGGGAAAGAAAGAGAAAACAAACGTAAAGTTTTGATCATCATTGTCTCACATTCTTTCAATTCTCATACAACTGAGCCTTGATTTATATGGGTTGACACTTCCATGCAGTCTTGTTTTATGCAGTGTGATGCCTTTTCACACACATCAAGAAAGATAATGTCTCTTGGGTTAAGCATTGGTCTGTTAACTACAAGGTTGGTTTGGGGACCCACCAGTCCCTTTATGGGAAAAATTTGTAGTTGTTGTGATGGTAGTGGTGGTGAGAACTCTAGGAATGTGAGGATAGCAATATTTTTAAAGCTAAAAGTGTGGTAGACAAGGGGCTTTCAAAATTTATAGACAAATGAAATGAAAAGTAAATGGATTTTCCAAAAAAAAAAACACCTTTTGAAAACACTGATATTTTAATATTCCAAATTATATGATAAATATGAGGGGGTTTCAAAAAGTTCATGGAAATTTTCAACTATCTTTTAATTTCATTTGTCCATGAATGTTTTGAAGCCCTTTCAAATGAATAAACTGACAACTATGCCAGAAAATAGTTATTAAAAACATTATTAGAAATAAATTTGAATACTACTAGTAGTCTTCAAAGTAATTCTGCCATTGAATTTTTATACATATTACCCACCGGAGTAGTCTTTATTGTTTTTTATTTTAAATTTATTTTCCACTATTTAAGGAGTAGTTTATTGTCTATTTTCTTATCACAAAGTAATACTTGTTCATAAAAAATATACAAAGAATGAAAATTATACACCTATTATTCTACAACCCAGAGATATATTTGGTTCTCTCTTAGTGCCATTGAGTCAATTCTAACTGAGTGACCCTATAGACAGACGAGAACTGCCCTTATGGGTTTCCAAGAAAGTAACTTTTTTTCTCAATAGTTTTATTGGCACATAATTTACATGTCATAGAATTGAATAGTTCAATCATTCAAATGTATCAAGAGGAATCATACAATCACAACCACATCCATTCTAGAGCATTCCCTCCCCTAATGGTTGATTCGCCCCCAAAGTGAGCTGTGCGATCACGATCAGTTCAAGTGCTCCCTCCCCACTCCTGCCGTCATGATTTCCTCCCAAACACCCCTTCCCCTCCCTACTGCCCACCCCCTTACATTCTCTGCAACACCTTGCATCAGTTATTATCATTATACTCCATTCTTCCTGGCTTCATAGCTGGTGTGTTAGACAGAGGGTTAACCAGAAACAAATTCATTGACACTCATATATGTGTAAGAGAGAACTTTATTTTGCATCAATAAAGCATTCCAGCCCAGTCCATCCAGAACAAGTCCATACGTTCAATATTAGCCCATAGGCCTGATATTAGCCCATGAATTCCTCTTCAGACTCACAAAGCACATGCAATGTGCCAAAAGTAGGAAGATCACAGGTCAGTGGGTGGAAAGACCTGTGGGTCCAATGGCAGTGGACGCATCTCCAGGGCTTTGGCTGCCATCAGTGTGGATCCATGTGGCTTGTCAACAGGAAGGTGAAGCAGAGAGAGTGTGTCCCGCCTCCAGGGAGGAATAGAGGGAGTTCGCAGAATCCTCATGATTAAGCCATGCCCACAAGGAGACATCTTCAGGCTGTAACCTGAATGACAGGCTAGACTCTAACCCTTCATTCTTTTATCAAGTTGACATGAAATTGTTAACTACTACCGTTGGGAAACCCACAGAAAACACTGGAAAATAAATCACACTAAGGTGGTAAGGATAAGATCACATTACTATAAAGGAACAAATACAAATAATCTGTGAGGGAGAAGACCCCCATCAAAGGAATGTAACTTTTTATAGGAGTAGGAAGTCTCAGTTTTGGACCTGTTATCAGGAGGGACTAGACCTTGGAAAAGGACATCATGCCTGGTAAAATAGAGGGGCAGCAAAAGAGAGGAAGATCCTTCACAAGATGAAGTGAAACAGTGGCCGCAACTATAGGCTCACGCACACGGTAACCACCGTGAGGATGGTGCAGGACGGGGCTCTGTTTCCTTCTGTTGTACATAGGATGGCTATGAGTTAGAACTGACAATGGTGCATAGCAACAATAGATATGCTTAGTATCTTGGTGCATGCCCTCTTAGAACATACCTGTGTGTGTGTGCACATACACAAATGGAAATTTTTTTTTCATTTTAAGTCATTTTATTGGGGGCTCATACAACTCATCACAATCCATATATACATCAATTGTATAAAGCACATTTGTACATTTGTTATCCTAATTATTCTTTTTTTTAAATTATTTTTATTGAGGGCTCATACAGTTCTTATCACAGTCCATACATACATTCATTGAATCATATGTACATTTGTTGCCCTCATCAATCTCCTGGAAATTTTTTTTGACATGAGATCATTTCACATAACAATGTCTCAGTAACAACTTTTCAAACCAATAACATAGACTATTGCTTAATTTTAATACTTTTTTCTGCCAGAGCTTTTAAATATGCTTGAGTCTCTTTCCCTCAAATACTTTTCCTCATAATAGACTACTATACAATAGTTACATATCTTTCCTGTCACAGAAACGTCTTGAAGAGCTATCCACATTTCTCTGTGTTTAGCTGATCACATTTGATTTGTATCTCTAACCTCTACAGAAACTTTTTCCACCAATGTAAGTAATGGGTTTACTTGCACTTTGACCGCTACTCCCTTCCCCCCTCCCCGCCCCAATGTTATGTTGAAGTCCTAACTCCTGTGCTTGTAAATATGAAACTGAAATGCAGATGTTCTGTTGTTATAAGAAAGAAGTCATATCCTTTCCGAGTGGTGTCTTAAATAAGGATGGAGGGAGATGATGTTGCGTGAAGATGGAGGCGGATGAATCTGTAAATTCTAGAACACCAAGGGTGAGCAGCAACCACCAAACGTGTAACCGAGAAGGAACGGTTCCTAGAGCCAATGTCCTGAATTCAGACTTCTAGTTCCCAGAATTGTGGAAAAGTGGTTTTTGATTTTACCAGCCAGCATTTGCACCTGTGGTTGCAGCAATGTTAACAAACGAAGGCACCCTTCTTTACAGTCAAATCCTGCAAACACTGCTCTGTACTCACGTTACTAGGGGCTCTGGCGACATCTGACATTACGGACCTTCTTTTCCTCTTGATCCTCTTTCTGGGGCTACTGTTACTCAACATTCTTCTGGCTTCCCCACCACTCCTGGTTGGTCTTCCTTAGGCTTCTGTCTGGGTACTTGTCTCACTCTTTCTATTCTCTCTAGTTCATCTTATACATCTCCAGATCTTCAATGACCTATGTCTTAATTCTAACCAAATCTGTCTCTGTTGGTGCAGGTCTCTCTCCCAAGACTTAAACACACAACGGGCCCTGGACACAGAACCAGTTGCAGTGTTCACAGGCGCACCGCAAACTTCGTTTTTCAAAGCAAATCATTCTTCTCTGCACGGCCTCCTTCTCATCTCAGTGTCCGTCGCCTGTGTCCTACTTCGCTCAGTGGTGGCATTGTTTACCAGGTGCGGACTCCAGCGAGATCAAGGTAGCGTATCATGTCCTGCACATCCCTCATTCTCTGCAGCAATTCACTCTCAACTTCTGTCTATTTTGGTATTTCCCCAATTCTCTTATTTTCATGATCTCTACCCCCTTTCAGACTACCTTTATCTCTCACCGCGATTCCAGCAATAACCATTGCGTTGAATCAATTTGGACTCCTTTACCGAAGCAGACCACCACATCTCTCTCCAGCACAGCGGCCAGTGAGCTCCAGCCACCAACATTTGGTTAGCTGCTGATGGCTTCAGCACTGCCACCAGGGCTGGCCGTTTAGCTAATTTGTTGCCAGTAGGATTATAGTAAAATGGAAATTTGATCACTTTTACTCTATTGCTAAAAGCTTTCAATGCCTCCGTATTGATGTTACGAC